AGTCCACTTTGAGGTAAAATGTGCGTATCATCACTTTCTTTATATAAATCTTTATATATGTAAAATATGATAATAGGATTCTATACGGATATTCTAGTACTTCTTTTTTTTAAAATTTAGTCTGGTTGAGCATGAACTACCCAAAATTAGTCATCGAGAGTTAAGATTTTCCGAAAATTAGATGCACGCTAAATGTTCGGCATTCCTTACTCAACACGTGTTTCGTCATTTAAAATGTAGTCTTGGTGAAATAATTAATTATTTTGAATAAGTTTCAAATAATACATTTCTTACTTATTATTTTTTCCTTCGTCGACGAGAATTATGATTGAAATATTTTTCCTGTATAGGTAATACAATGCAAATAAAAATAATAGCTGTAGTAACTGATGAGAAGCGTATAGTTTACTAATGAATGATCATCCCCTGCAAATATAGGAACTAAACAAAGAGTCTTTTCGCACGCAATGCAAATTACTTTGACAGTGTGTCTACTAAAACAGGTTGACCAAAAATCAGTACTTTTAAAGTGCTGTTTTCCGTACACTTCCGTGAAATGCAATACTTTCCCAACAAGAAAATTAAGTATTTTTTAGTACCTCCAACCGACGAAATTCAGCAAATTTCAAAAATTTGAATTTCCCGCTCAAGTTGCGACAAAAATGAAAAGTAAAATGAAAGAATTCCGGACTTACTTGCGGAATCCTACACTTCTTTAGTACTTCTGCGCCGCTCTTAAAAAATCAGTACTATTTCCGTACTTTTCAGAAATTCCGGATTTGTAGACACCCCGTTTGGTTTTGGATCAAAGAAGTACATTAAATACTTCCCAGACAGATAAAAGATGAAGTAAAATAATTAAATTTATTTTTTAAGTCTAGAAACATGCACGAACAATTTTCGTAAAAAGGTAAATGTTATTTATTATGTCAGTAAATCGTAAGTAATGGAATCAAAACAACGAATCGATAACTTTCCTTTTAAAGTGTTTAACATACCAGAATAATATTTTGCATCCTGACTAATTGCAAATAAACTGTAATGATACTCGAGATCTGGAAAACGCTCATAAGTTAAATACCAAGCTCGACCCGGAGCATTTGTTACTTTTGGGTTTAAAATTAACTGTAAGGCTACAAAATCGAAGAACTTATTTGTACATATACTCAGGCCTATTTCTTCTTCCATGTCGCTCAACATTTTGTATAAAGTTAAACCGTAATCAGCTGTTGACAGAACGGACTTTAAACTAAGAATCAAACCTTCAAATCGGTCCGTACAGTAACCACCCGCTTCCACATCATAATACCTTGAGACTTCAGAACCGATGATTCCAGCAACTTTCATCAATATCATTAAACGAAATTTCCTTGAAACTGATGCACCAATATATTGTAATATTGAAATTAATGAAGATTCTTTATCTTGTGGCGCTGGCACGATTCTGTCTGCATGAATCGATATCATGATGTAAAATTCCAGTTTCGCTGGTGACTAGATACTCACCAATTGCGATAAAAAAACTGTTAAGATGACAAAGTCTGATTTAAAATGGGACTCGTTCAAGTTTAATCGATTAATTCTAGTCTTTCATATTTTTTACATCTTGGCAGGTACTGAGAAGTTGAGGCACGTCACTGGATGCCTCAAACAAAGTGTTTGAAAATGTTTTAGCTGCCAATTTTTAAAATGAAAAAAAAAAATTCCCAAGCGAAATTCTGACCGGCAAAATTTTTCTTGAGCCAAGAATAGTAAGGATTTACAAGTTTTGGAGCTGGATTTCAGGAATGTTTAGAAATATTTTCACTGCTAGGTTCATCGGAGCAAACTATCGTAATTTCTCCGCGAATGTAAAATGCCATGGAAATGGATTCAGAGAATAGTTCGGAGTTATTAGGTACTTAAACGGCTCCCGTAAAAATGATTGAAGACGCACGAACACCTTCGCTTTCAAGTCGATGGAAAAAAGTAGGTACATTGTGTGAAAATTCTATCGCACGGTGTGGCACTCGACTATGATACTTTATGTGTAATTTTATAATGATAGAGAATTGAACTGATTATTAGAATGTCAAAAGCTTCCAAGCTAAAAGTGTCACCATTGCGTAGCTATCCCTTGAAACAAGCATGTCATTTTAGCGTCATTGCGTTTCAAACTTTAAATGCTTAAAGTTACATGTGCAAGACCGAAGCCAAAAAAAAACACATTAATTTATAGCTCGATAGAGAATTCATCGGAAGAGGCCACCTGAGGCACCAACTAAAGGTATACCTACAGCACCGCAGCACCGCGAAGGAAGAAATTTCTCCGTGCCACCGCTGTGCTTTGATTTTGAGGGTCCCGTTGTTAGAGTTCATACAGCTTGACCTCAGTCCTCGAACTTTCATGAAAATTGAAAGAATTTCTGTTGAAATGGAAGAATCATAAGCTCTAGTTATGACATTCTTCTTGCATCCGACATTAAAGGAGATGTGATTAGTAATTTTTAAAACTCAGTTATATGATCCGTGAAAAAAGTAGCGATAAGCAAAAGGACCTTGATGCGACCAAGCACGAGTGATCTCTCTCAGCAATTGAAAATATTTTTTTCCCACCATGAACTATCTCTCTCGCGATACCAGGCTTTCTATAGGAGTAAGTGAGATCAAGTCTTAGCCTTCATTATTAAACTTATAGAAAGCTCGTGTTTGATTTTAAATATTGCAGACATTTGCTGCTACAATTTATATGCTTCAGAATGGACCACTAGACAAGGTTCGAATTTCAGCATTCTAATCCGTGCTTCTTAACCTAAATTTAACGTAGAACACGATGCGCACAACGAAAATTACCGAAATCAACTCCTTACGGAAATATTCAATAATTATTGATGCATGAATCTAAACCATTCGCTTATTAAAATTCAATGTTATATGTGGTTCACATCGCGCGATAAACGTTATCATGACAGTCTCTGCGATATAAAAATCTGGCAACCTCAATCTTAACGCTTTGGCTCAGCTTTAACAAATTGCTTATAGTTTGAACAACACATGGAGGGGAATGAACATTACTCGATTGGGCCGGAGATTGCTGAAGCCGTTGTAGTGGGCGATTCGACTCACGTAGAGCTTTGAGTTTCTTGTGAGCGGGCAGTTCAAGTTCCTTGTAACCAATTTGAAATAAAAACGTTAATATTTTCGTTAGGAGTTGGTTTCAGTAATTTTCATTGCTTGAATCGTGTTCTGCGTGAAATTTTTGCTAAGAAAAATGTATCGCAATCCTTTAATTCGTACTTTGTCTAGTGGTCCAACATTATCGTTGATTTCAGAGTTAGATTGTAGTAGCGCACCGTGGTGGATTTTTCGGAACCATCGCTTATGAACGCTAAAGAATAGATATAACACCTATTAAACATTAAAATAACAGTTCCGATTTTTTGCGGCACCAATCACGTTACTTGCGTCGGAAGCTACTTAAATCGCATTCATGGTTCGCGTTTTAAATGAAATCTCCGATTTGAAGAGAAAAAAAAAGCTCAATATTCTGCTCGCATGGAGGATCGTCTGGTTGTAGCAGCTCCAGAAAATTAGATGTACAAATTCTCCTCTAAGTTTCTTACCGATCACAGTTAGTGGGCACAAATACACGGGATAACAGATAAAACACATTTTTAACCATGCCGTATATTTTGACTAACATGAACACTGTAAAAGTCGTGTGCAATGTTAATCCCAAATTCCCAACACAGAAAACACGGTGATTTCAACTGAAAAACCAAGCCTTTAGATACTTCAGTGATAGGGACACACACATATAACTAACACAGTTTTGGAAGCTATTTCCGGATTTTCCAACGTTTCAAGGAGATTGTAGGTCGAGATATTTGTAAAGCAGGGTTAGATATTTTAGTTGAAAAAATAACAGTTCAGAAAATATGCCAAAAACTAGAGAAATCTTTGTCTACAGGTGAAATTGATAACAGCCAGTTGGTTGTTTTGATTTAGCCTCGATGTTCGAACGCGTAGAGGTCCCGCTGACGGCGCCCGGTCGAATGTGTGGCAAGAAGCCAGGGGGTAATTCCGGCGCCATATTGAATTGCCGCTAAAGCGCGGGCAAACGCGGCATTTTAAAATTTCGAACTTCAAAAGTCGTTTTCGGAGGGAAAAACGGCTCGGAAAAATCTGAAAAAATTACTGCGTGATCAGGAGACAATGTAGTTTCTGAAAATGCAAGAATTAGAAACAGGTTAACAAGCTCATTGGGGACTCGCGACCGCGCCGGCAGGAGCGTTTTTTCGGGAATAAATAAAAAAAATGAAGGCGCTAATAGTGGGAGGCTGTGAGTGATTGATGAACATTTCCCATCGGTCCCGCCTGTTGCAGAACAATCCAGGCGGGGAAGATGAAAAAAAAAGGTAGATGATACAAAATGCAACCTCGTTACACAGGAAAGTAAACTCGCTGATATGCTGATAAAACTGTCATCAGTTTTGGAATTCAATCAGTCGAATTTTTGAACTTAACGTAATGATAGTATACGACCTAATCAGTCTTCTTCAGTTCCCCTTTATAAATGCAGCATCGAATGGTGAATCGTAATCATTACTCCAAAGTCAGCACATGAGGACCAAATCAGCGCGGCAAGGCACCACAATTGAATAGAGTATCATAGTTACATTAAACAAGAACTACATTAATCCTTGAAAGAGCGTGTTGGAGATACGCAGCAATTAACATGGCAACACAGCATCTTCGTTTGACTCCGCAAGGTTAGATGTAAATGAGCCCCTCAAGGGTTTATATTAGGTTCTCGACTCCTCTCTCCTTGCACGAACGCCTGTGTGATGCGTCCCCCGACTTCGACTTCAGTCAGTGTAGATGCCTGTTTAAAGTGATACGCGGCACCTCGAGATCGTGAAGCTGTTGTTCCGTCATACTAGAGTGCGGTCTACGGCAAAGGAGCCACTTTAATTTTACTATTTCCAGATTTGAGCGCTCCAGTCTTATCTGCCGTCACGATGAACTTCTTCCGTGAAGCGGATCGATTAAGTTCCTTTGAAAAATGGCCTGTCCCGTTAATGGATCCCAGAAAGCTGGCGGCGGCTGGCTTTTACTTTTTGAATCAAAGCAATGATACTGTGCGGTGTGCGTTTTGTGGTGTAGAAATCGGTAAATGGGAACAAGATGACGACCCCTTCGTGGATCATCGAAAATGGTCAGGTAATTGTAAATTTGTCAAGAAATTACCGTGTGGAAACGTTCCGCTAGATCCATCAAATGATACTGCATTATTCACTGGAGCTGGTCATGATGATCATAGGAGTTTCGGAATAGAATTGAAACGGAAAGTGACGGAAAGCGAATATCCACCGACAAAGCACAATGATGTTCCTCCATTAGAAAAATTAAGTGTACAAAAGAAGGAAAGTCCTATGTTTCCAAAGTATGCTACACTCAAAGCCAGGCTAAGTTCATACATTCTATGGCCGATTTCTCTGAAGATCAAACCGGAAATGCTAGCACACGCTGGTTTGTTCTACTTGGGTAAAGGTGATCATGTCATGTGTTTCCACTGTGGTTTGGGATTACAAGATTGGAGGGATGACGATGATCCCTGGACAGAGCACGCGCTATGGGCCGGCAGATGCAATTGGGTGCTCTCAGTTAAAGGTAAGGAATTCGTGAGCAGAATCGTTCGGAAGGAAAAAAGCTTGAGAACTTTCCCATTTCGAAAACAGTCCCTTGAAAGTATGCTCGCTGCAAAAAGCTTAAGGGCTCTGACAGTAGAGCCACAACCCACTGAATCGGGCGATAAATCGATCGTCTTCAAATCGAGTACAAGCCAGTCTTCCGGACCAAAAGTGCCTCCTTCTGAAACGAGCACCAGTAATTGTAGAGAATGTAAAATTTGTTTTACTGAAGAGATAAGTGTTGTATTCCTTCCTTGCGGTCACACCATGGCATGCATCGAATGTGCCCAATCTTTGGATAGGTGCCCCGTGTGTCGAAAATCATGTTTAGCTACTGCTCGAGTGTATTTACCTTAAATCCTTTTTTGTGAAAAACCAAGAAGTTAATGAATCATTGACAACCTGCAGTTGATTCAATCTATTTTCTTATCCTTGCCACGAAAGTCTTTTCAAATATTTGATCCCATTACAGCTATTAAAATAAACCTGTACCGCTCTAACATTGAGCATCACAAATATTAATGTCTCCTATTACTTGTGCGGATTGTGTCTGACTCTCGACTGTCACTCGTGCATTATCATTACATTATGCACCTATTTCTCTATTAATTATTAATTAATATCTTTTTATTTTATAGCGGGGTAGGGGGGTATAATAATTAAGATCCAAATATTTATTACAAATATCTATACTTTAATTAGCATGTATATATTTTTTTGCACAAATTATCTTAATAGTAATGTACAGCACTTGTACATTCTCTAATCTAGATAGGACCGGTGTCGCACCAGCCTACCCATTATTGTAAAAGTAGTTCTTAGTTCCTAGTTATAAGAAATAGAGTTAATACTATGTAGTCCTCTATTCTTTCAATAAAGAGAAAGAAATAAATAAAGCTGAATATTTTTAAAAAAAATTACAATGTAAAAAAACCACTGCACGGGTCTCTTTTTCTTTTTTTAACACGGATAGAGGTACTTTTTCTGTAGTTCAAAGTTCTCAAGCAGTCGGTTCTTTTACCAAGTATTTCAAATTGTTATACAGTATAGTTCATATGATTGTAGAAAATAGATTATTATAATGATAAGGGTAGGTACCTAGTTTAAAATCACAAACCTTTACGATCTGCTTTACCATGAACAAAGCTTCGGACAGTTTGATTTTGAGTCCTCACAATGTACAGTTATCTTCAATTATTTGTCCAAAATAAATCCTACTTGTTTAAACTTTTAAATCTCGCTAAGTGTAATATTTCCAAAGAAAACCACTGGGTCTGACCTTAGACTGTAATTTAAAATCATCGGACTGCCTATTATTACTATTAGTCGAAATAATAATTGATAAAGAAGGGGGCCGAAGACCCATCCCATTCATACTTAAGACTGCAGAATATGGAATTCATTGCTCTCGTTAACTTCCAAATTAAGCCGATCAATGCGTAAGCATAATCGCTTATTTTGATCAATTCACGGCACTATAGTTCTATGATTCACCCGTTTGATCCGAGTAAGAATAAAATGATAAATAGCCCGTTCCTGTGGAAGTACATTTGGACAAAGGAGCTGTATAAGACTGTGTAATAAAATTGTATTCATTATTTTTATGACTAATTTTGCTATGTAAATCTGTCAAAGATAGTATTCATTAATTCCCTTTGTATCAAATATTTTTTGCTGAGTAATAATTTGCAGTCAGAGGACTGCAGACTAACGCCAAATTTTTGAAGTTTGAAGATCTCCTTTTACTACTTTAATTATAATTTCCTTTAATTGTAGGGTATCTAATCGTAGTTTTTAGCAGAGAATTAAATTTTTATTGATAAGATTTTTTTAAATTCTAAAAATTTTACTTATTTAAAACTTGTCTTACTGCTATCTTTTTAATCAATATATTATATTTAGACATGAAGTTTGTTAATCTTAGGCTTAACCGCAACTTTGGCACCTAATTAGTTGAAATTTAAATAAATTCTTTTAAAAGATGGTTCTACTTTTTTAATTATAAATGTTAAATGTCGAGGTTTTTAATAATTGTCCCTCACTTGGAATTATTAGATAGTAATGGTTTGGCTATTGCAGTATTTTTCATTCCATTCTTCTAATATCCCAACGATTGATATTTTAGGAGAAGTGATGATAGTATGAAAAAATATCAATGTTGGTAGCATGATGTCAGAGATGACGTCACTTCTTCTATCCAAATAGAGGGGTTTCACCAATCGGTAGGTATCCTCTTGCAGCTTGGTCTGAGCGTTCACGATTCAGTTGTATTTTCATGCGTTCTTTACTCTTTTGGTAGATATTTCTTGATAATAAAGTTTTTTACGTCCTGGCCATTGGCGTTCTATGGCTTTAAGCAATTGTTATTTATTGTTGCAACTTTCCTATAGCACTAACTTGTCCAAAAATTTAAAATTAATGTAGAACTATTCGATAAATAATAATAACAATAAATTTTAGACTTTTCCTCTCTTTTCATGATATCAAAAAAATAAACCGTCTAATTGCGAAACTTTGAAAAAAACAAATCTGAAAGTACTAATTTTTTGGTTACCAGAAGTAGGCAGAAAAGGTAAGGTTGGGCAAGGTTGCTCCCCTCTCTCTCACAATCAGAAATACTTTCACGGTTAAGTAATAGTGCTTCTTCAATATAAATTCCTCAAATTCTTAAAAAAGTTACCTATACAAATGTATTTATAATGAGAGGCTTCTAGATCTGAGGGGATTTTGGAGAAGAGGGGGTGATTTAGAATGCGAAGGGAGGGCAGTATATGGGTGGAAAGAGAATCCGGGACGTTAGTTATGGAAGACGAAGTATGAAATATAAAATTCTTCAAAAAACTGCGAAGAAACATCGCAGCTTCCAAATAATCATGTTCCCCCGTAGCATTTCAAAACGAAATTATTGAAGAAAACAGTTACAACATTGTTGTAATAAAGTTGCAATTTCCATACAACATTTTGTCAATTTCTGCCGATTTTCGTGGATAATAATGAAAGAGAAATTGTGAGGTCTGGCGGCAACAGCGACAGTCTGACGGCACGTTGTCGTGAAACTGTCAGAGTTCAAGAGTTTGTGATTTTATTGCAATGAAATTGTCAAGTTACAGTTTAATTTTGAAAAATCTCTAGTTTCCCTTTTTGCTAGCCGAAAGAATTTCATCAGAAACCGATAGAAGTAGACTGTGTGAACTTTCATTTTATTTTTTTTGTAGTCCCAGGAAGCATGAGTACCTGCATAGTACCTTCTTTCCTTTCGAAATCTCTCTCCCTAGCTATCACGGGACAGAAGATGAGTAGAATAAGAATAATTTTCAAATTGATGCGCAGTCAAGTTTAGTTTCGAAATATTTAGTTTTACACTAGTTTTAATACAAATATAGGTAAGCTTAATAGGGACGATGTAGTTGAAACAAGTGAGAAAAATTATATTTTCTCTGGAAGTAAGCATCCACAGTAAAGCCTTTGACTATCGTTTTTACAATTTTTCGATTCATTTCATCACGAAGGTAACTGTATTTTAAAACTAGGGGGCCCTGCCCCCTGACCGCTACGCGGTCCAACCCCCGGGAGGGCGCTTCGCGCCCTCAGACCCGCTTCGCGGGCCCTATACGCATGTGCATAGGCAAAAATGTTCTTCCATTTTAATACACCATTTTGTGTTCGAGCTGCATCGATTTCAAAATTTTTGACGTAACACTCAGATTTGTAAATGATGAGGAATAGCTGGATGTACATAATTTCACAGTCGATTTACTGGAGAAATTTCCATTTATTATGTTATATTTAAATACTTAATTTTAAGCAAAAAAATCGGATTTCGACCGTTAAGAGTTAATAATATATGGTCCGTCCCGACGCGACGCTGCGGCTGCCTTCTCACTTTGTATCAGCTGTTTATCTGCTGTAAATATTAATAGAAATTCAGCAATCAAGTAAATTGACCAATGCCACAAATCGAAGCCGGAAGAATGAGGAAAAATTGAGTAAAAACCTTATACCTTGGATTTTGAACCTTGAACCCTGAGCGATGCACCTTTCCTCAACTCTTCGAATGAGGAGCCCTTCACGAGGTTTTCCATTGTTTTATTGTTTATTCGAGTCACTCAGGTAGAATCCTACACCTTGACGTTTCTAGCGGAAACGACATATCTCTCACGCTATTAACATTGGACTTAAGTGACATGAGCTTTAAATGCTCTACAACATTTAAAGTTCGGGGTTTCATAATTTTTTGCACATCTACATCAACTACAGATGACATACATGTAAAGATCATCCTTATCGGTCCGGCAGTTCGTCAGAAATAGTGCTTCCAAGATTTTGCTTGTAGCTGTATAATATAGATTGAAATTTTGTCAAATATTAGGTACCTAAATCACTCACGTTTAATCCAAGACTTTCAACGGATTTTGTGATCCCAAGTTTATTTGATGGATTTGGGTATTTATCAACAACAAAATCGTTCCTTCGTTTTTTTCTCATTCTCCATTTATGAAGGATTTATTTCTTTTTGTTCCTTTTAACTCTAGATTAATTTTTTAAACATTTTTGGCTTATGTGGATACTGAGTATTTAAGAAATGTTTTTACATGGTCAAATGAGTCATCGCTGCTCCTTACAAACGCAAAGCGGTACTGAAAATGAAAGACCCCTCGACAGAATAAGATGCGAATATTTAAATGCACGTTTTCCAGGATGGGACGCTTTACGGTATAGGTGGATTCTACCTGATACCCATTTTGACGATTTGCCGACTTTCTCAGAACACGAATTTTCACTGTTAATTTTAAAGACCAAATCCGTTCTTTGATACAATTACTTAAAAAACTTAAATTCTCCTCCAGTCAATTTGCCAACCTCTTCGGGAGACTTGCCGGATAGTGAAACGGCAATATCAGATAATAGCATGGACTTTGAAAAACTTTTCTATAGTGACGTGCGTGGCAGATAAGAAGCAATGTTTTCCAATCGGCAGTGGATAGTAGTGAGCAATTGATGTTACGACGACTCAGCTGATAATTAAATTGCTACAGAAATCAACTTTATACTCGGTATCAGTATTTCAACAAGGAAAAATGTGCTCAATTGTAGTACATCCGGATTTGTACGAAATCGCACGTCAAGTCTTCAGTTATTCGCTACCATCTGATGAAGTATCAATTGATCGAGTTTCAGATCTTACGGTTATTTCAGATTTTTATCCGGCAATAATGTACGCTCATCCCCTTCCGCGTCTGCCTAGAGAAATAGTTGGTCCGAACGGAGAGTGCTTTACAAATTTAAAATCTCGCTTTTTTGAACGTGCTCGGATCATAATTGAACCTAATTATTACAAGCAAACAATCGTGAAATCAATTATCAACGGTCGACCTCGGTGTGTAGATAAAAGTAAAATGGACAATCGACATGTATGCATTACGCAACCCGAAAGTACATCGTATACTTTTAAGGAGCCAATTTCTGCGTACAGAATAGAGCAACGATGTCCGCGTCTGGT